AAGCTCACGGGCTCTCTCAGACGGCTCAGTGAGGGCAAGATCCTGTGGACGGTGTGGCCCAGTGGATGTAGCTCTCGCTGCCACTTCTGTGGCCACGGTTAAGCTAGCTCCGGCCAGCCCCAGCGAGGGAGCTAGGCAGCTACGAGTTCCCGGGGGAGGAGAGACCCTTTTGTCAATTTCCATAGCAGTGGGTGAGCCACAGCAGGGACTAGCAGGGACGCCCTTCTCCATCCTCACAAAAGCGGATGGACCCCGGGCCTCTGATCCTGCAGGGGCAGCCCGGCCAGGAAGAGGTGGCATTCCTTCCTTCACCTGCACGGGGCATAGGCTGGGCCCTCCTTTCCTCCCGGAGTTGGCTCCTGAAGTCTCTGGGCATTGCTCCCCCCAGGACTTTGTCCTCCGTTCCTCGCTCCGGGAGCCCTGAACAAGGACCCTTCCAGGGGGCTGGCTGCTGCTGCGGAACGGACACGGGGAGGGCGAGCGAGCCCTGCCCAAACGCGGGCTGCGGGGCGCTTGAATTTCGGAGCTCTGCGCCTGAATGTGCGCCTCAAACATGCCCACTTTCTGGTTCACCTGCACGTTCTGCAACTCGCGCTGCAGGATCCGCAGCTTCCTCTTGGCCTCCTCCGGCCCTGGCGGGGAGAGGCTACCGGCGGGCACCACCTGCTGCCGGTCCCCTCGCAGGCGACCAACCCAACTTGGGCTGCCCATGCTGCTGCTGCTGCTGCTGCCGCTGCTGCCGCTGCTACTATTCAGCCTGCGCCGGCCGCTCCGCCAGCCCCCGGGGCTCCGGGGCTCCTCGGGCGACAGCGACTCGGCTGGGGGGAAGAGGAAAGAGGCGCCTCTCCTGGGGCTGAAAACGCTGCTGGGGCTTAGCACGGCCCTCCCCGGGGGCGGAGGCGTCTCGCTACCGCTGGGCTCGGGGCCGCCGCCGCTCTTCACCTCGTTGGCGCTATTCATGATCACTAGGCTATTGAGCGCATAGCAGTACACAGCCATAGTACTGGGTCCGCCGCGCTGCCCGCTGCCGCGGCTCCAGCTCCTGCTCCGCCGCCGGCGCCTCCTCCTCCCGGCGCTCCCGGCTCAGCCCCGGAGGCCCGGCAGCCGCGGCTTCGCGCGCAGATGGGGCGGCATGGCCTGGGCGGCAGGCTGGGGGCACGACAGAGGGCTCAGCCCTTGCCCAAATCTCCATAAACAACTGTGCGGCTGTGGAGATACAAGGAGAAAAGTCAGGACTCTCGAGGGTTGCTGAGGGGTTGGCGATCGCCTGTAGATCCCAGAGGGAGCCCTGGGGATCCAATCTGTCCGGGACCCGGCGCCACCGGCATCTCACCTACCGAGACGGCAAGGCTCGGCGAGGGCATGCCCCGGCTGCCTGGGTCGCCAGAGCGGTTTCGGGTGTGCTTCCCCGCCCCCTATCCCGCCCCAGGCTGCGATGCGCTTTGAGGTCCCTTCAAATCCCAATCCTAACATTCGTCTCCGGAGTCACGCGGACCAGCGAGCAGTGAGGTCCAACTCCTTGGTTCCTAAGTATGCTGTGTGCGGGGCACGGCTGACTCCCAGCTCTCCCGGGCTGAGGACACCCCCGCCACCGTCTCTCCGGGTCTTCCCTGCCTGAGCAAACATTGGCTATCCAGGGCAACCCAGCAGCCCTCGCCCTGGGCTTCAGGGTCTCCCTGCTCCACCCTTTCGGGGCATCAGAGACCGACTCGGAGGGAACCTGAGCTGGACCTGCCTTCCCCGAACCGCTGCCAGCGCCCGGATCTGGGAGAGCGCCTGCGTGCCTGCCGTTTACCTTCCTGACCCTGGCCTTGGGGCTGTGTCTCTTGGCCTACGAAGGCCTAGGCGGGCGGCGGGGCAGCAGCCGAAGCATTTCTCAGCACTGGTCGTGTCGCTTATCCCTAGTCAAGTGTTTTGTGAGTGTGGGCGCGCCTGCGCGCGCCGGGGGCCGATGTTCTTCTACACGTCCCCTGTACCGGAACCAGTACTCAATGCCCCCCTGCCGTCGTCCCCTAGGGAGGGGTGTGTGAGAGTGTGAGTGTGTGTGCACGCGTGTGTGTATACGCGCGCGGAGCGAGTCCGCTCTCCGCGCGCTCTGGTGCCGAGGACGCGGCTGCCTCTGAGGGTTCCCGGACCCGCGCCCACTCAGAGGAACTTAGGGGCGTGCATGGCTGCAGCCAGGCAGCAGCCCTGGGTGCACAGAGCCTCGGGCTCTGCAAACGGACCTGGAGCCCGCGCTGTAACACCCAGGGCAGCGCCGCGGAGTGCAGGGTTTCTCCGCATCCCGGGCAACCTCGCCCGGCGCCTGCAGAGCCTCCCCGAGACCCCAGCCTGGGGACTTTTGGAGCGCGCAGGAGTAGGCGGCGCAGAGTGAGCGGCCCGGAAGGCGGGTTGGAGAAATGCGGGGACCTCGTCTCTCCCTACTCTCTCCCCGCCGCCACTCCATGTCACCCTCCAAAATCAAACCCCCTTCCCTGCCTCCCCAGCCCACCCCTTTGCCCTGTTTCGGAACCAGGAACGCCGAGTTTCGCTCCAGAGCAGAAAGTGAGGGCAAAGAGGGTTGTTCCAAGGCAAGAGCCATTAAAAGGCCGCCAAACTTACCTGCAATTTCTCAGATTCCAGGTCCTGTGTAGACTACATACCCAGAGGCGCAGACCTCGTAGAGAAGAGATGGCTTTAAAAGTAAAAATGCTCAGAAATGATTTTCTCACAAGCTATGGAAGACAAAAAAGAGTGCGAAAGAGTGGGGAGAGCTCTTCGGTTCAGGGGCCCGGCGATCCCGGCAGTGTAGACGCCAAGCCGGCCCTGCACGCCCTTTTCGGCCGCGGAGATACTGCCCCTGTCAGTGTCTGCTCCGGGCAACTTCAGTGTTTGTTCAATGTACGATTAAAAAAAAAAGAAAGAAAGAAAAGTTGGGGGGGGGGGAGGAGGGAGGAGGGAGAAAGGCGGAGGCTTGGGGGAGGAAAGCAGGAAGGAAGTTGTGAGCCTGTCTGGGGTTGAACTCAGCGGAACAAGTTTTTCTTTTCTTCTTTTTTTTTTTTCTATTGCTTGGCAAGACGAGGGAGGGAAACACTTAAAAAAAAAGTTTCCATTGTTAGCTAACAACAAAAAAAAAGCCTTTTAACTTCTGCGGTTTAAAGATATACAATTCATTTTCCACCCCTCGATGGAGGCTTGCTGATGTGCCTAGCTTTATGAAACTAGTTTTGAAAAATGTTTTTAATAAAGTTTTGAGTATACTTATTAAACAAAGCAAATAATGGGGAACTTTTTAGCATTTAAAAAAGGCTAAAATCCTATATGAACGGTTTGTGTTCTTGTTCACAATTCTGTAAATTCAAAGGTACATTGAGATCACCTTCCTGCAAAGTTGCAGATTTTAAGTGCATCACAGTAGTATTTTGGAAGACTGGTTGGTCTATGAGCTGGGGATGGTTTTGCAGTGCAATTGGTAGATGTATAAACACACCTTTACATATCACATTTATTTATAACTGCACACAGCACATGTGACATTCGCATATTTTTGCACTTAATTCTCAGAATTATTTTAAGAAAAAGCATAGTCCTGGAACTAAGAAGGCTTGGGTAATGTCTGAAACCCCCCTTGCTTCTGTGGACCTTTGTAGACTGTCTCCTGTAGACTGGATCATTTTCCAGAACCTTTTTCCCTTACTATCAGCAAAAAAGGGAGAAGGAACATCAGCCAACATTACTGGGCAGGGGATCCTACCCCTTTCAAGCCCCAGCACTCACTGCCAGTGTGTTTTACATAATGCTCTAAATCTTAAACTACAGCATTTCGTGGAAAGAGGGAAAACACAGCTGCAAGGCTTAGGAGACTGAAACATCCAAAGCCTGAATTGGTCCTTATGTCATGATTAGCTGAAATTCAGAGGGAAATTTTGACTTTGCTTGTAGCACACAGATCTCTTGCTTGTTTATGTAACAATACTGTTCAGTGAGCAAAGGAACCTGCTGCTCAATCAGGAAAAGGTTCATGCTAAATCTGAAATAAAGAGATCTCCTAGTCAAGAATTCCTGAGAATCACACACTGTTGAAAACTTTCTAATTTTTAAAAACATGCCATGGAAGAATTGAACCTAATTCCCCTCCTACCCTCAACAGGACTTTAAAAAAAGAACCCAGAGTTATTCAGGGCTCCAGGCAGTTTTTTCAGGACCTGAGCAATTCCTAAGAAAGAGAAGCCAACCCTCTCCTTGACCCTAATTTCGTTCCCTAGGGGCAAAAAAAAAGGAGTTGCCAGTTATCAGGAGACCCAGTCATCGGAATTTATGTCTGAGGGGCCTTTATTCTAGGAGAGGCCAATATCCATGTCAGGTGTCATAGTGGAAGCAACAGAAGCACCCAGCAATGCATACATTAAGGACAGACACATAGCTTCCCAATCCCTGGGAAACCTCACTGTCACCTCACACCCTGACATCATCAGCCTTCCGTAGTTGAGAAACTCAGACTTCTTGAATGTGCAGTCAACCTGAAGAATTATTGGTCAGAAGGCAGCCAGCAGCTGTCAGGTGTGACATGCAGAAGGGATTTCTGCCTTGGGCTTGAGGTAAGGCTAGCTGATGATTGTACCAGTCTAAAATTTGAACTGTGCCACCAAGAGCAGCAGGGATTGGGGAATCGATGGAATAAAACCCATTTCTGGAAGCTAGCATAACGGGCTTGCATCCTGAAAGAGAATCTAGTTGCCTTCCGTGATTGTAAATGAACATGAGAAGAATACTTTACATAGCAGTTATTTGTGAGACATTGTTCTAGACACATTATAAATATTTATACATTTGTATCCTCATAACAACCCTATGAGGGAGGCATCATTATTGTCCTTATTCTACAGATGAAAAAATGAAAGTACAAATAAGTGAGTAGTTTGTCCCCAAATCCCATTGCTAGTAAGAGGCAAAACCAGGATTTGAACCTGTGTAGTCTGGGTCTAGAATCCGTGCTTGTCACTACTTCTCCATATTGTATAGTTATTATCTATAACCATAGGGAAGGCTTGCCTAACTTTTCAGTTGTTCTCTATAACTGTAGGGAAGTTTTGTCTAACTATTCAGAGTACCCATTTGCCTGCTTATGAAATTGAAGTTTAAAAATCAAAGCTATGAAACTAAGAATAAAAGGAAACTTCCTCAACTTGATAAAGAGCATCTGTGAAAAACCTAAAGTTAATATCATACTTAATGATTAAGTACTAAACACTTAGCACTAAAATTAGAAACGATGGCCAGGGACAGTGGCTCACACTTGTAATCCCAGCATTTTGGAAGGCTGAGCGGGGCAGATCACTTGAGGCCAGGAGTTCAAGATCAGCCTGGCCAACATGGTGAAACCCTGTCTCTACTAAAAATACAAAAATTAGGCCAGGTACAGTGGCTCACACCTGCAGTCCCAGCTACTTGGGAGGCTGAGGCAAGAGGATTGCTTAAATCTGGGAGGTGGAGGTTTCAGTGAGCCGAGATCATGCCACTGCACTCCAGCCTGATGACAGAGCGAGACTCCATCTCAAAAAACAAACAAACAAACAAAAATACAAAAATTAGCCAGTTATGGTGGCACATACCTGTAGTCACAGCTACTCAGGAGGCAGAAGCAGGAGAATCACTTGAACCTGGGAGGCTGAGGTTGCAGTGAGCCAAGATAGCACCACTGCATTCCAGGCTGGGCAGCAGAGTGAGACTTCGTCTCAAATAATAATAATAAATAAAACAAAATTAGGAATAAGGTTAGCATGTCTGCTCTCACCATTTTTATTTAACACTGTAATTGAAGTCCTAGACAGTGCGATCAGACAAGGGAAAGGAATAAAAAGTCATCAAATTGTAAAGGAAGAAGTAAAACTATATTTATTTAGATTATGTAATTGTCTACGTGGGAAATCCTGGGTCTATAAAAAAGCTTTTAGAACTAATAAGCGAGTTTAGTAAATGTATTAGTTTGCCAGGGCTGCCGTAAGAAAGTACCTCAGGCTGGTTGGCTTACAAGAGAAATTCTGTTTACAACAGAGATTTATCTTCTCACAATTCTGGTGACTAGCAGTCTGAGATCAAGGTGTTGTAGGGCCAGTTTCTTCTGAGGCCCCTCTCCTTGGCTTGTAGATAAATCTTCTCTGTGTATCTTTAAATGGTCTTCTCTCTGTATAGGTCTATGTCCTAATCTCTTCCTCCTATAAGGACATCAGTCATATTGGATTATGGCCTAGCCTAATGACCTCATTTAGCCTTAATTACCTTTTTAAAGACCCTATCTTCAAACAGTCATATTTTGAGACATTGGGGGTTAGGACTTCAACATATAAATTTGGGGGGGAAACACAATTCAGCCCATAACAGCAAGTTTGCAGAATACAGATTAATATATTTTATTTCTACATACTACCAATAAATAATCAGAAATTTTAAAACATTACATAATCATAATACAGTAATACCTTTACAATAAACTCAAAAACCATGAAACATTTAGAGACAAACATGACAAAATTGTGAAGATCCACAGTGAGAAAAAAAAAAAAGACCTAAGTAAATGAAGAGATATATCATGTTCATGAATTAGAGGACTCAATAGTGTTAAGATGCCAATTCTTCCTCAACTTTATATGTAGATTCAATGCAATCACAATCAGTATTTCAGCAGGTTTTTGTTTATTTTATTTTGTTTTTATTTTCTAAACTTTATAGGAAAATACAAAAGATCCAGAATGGCCAAAACAACTTTGAAAAAGAACACAGCAGAAGGACTAACACTATCTCATGTCAAGACTTACTATAAAGCTATAGTAATCAAGATAATGTGGTATTGGCATAAAGTTAAAAAAAATAGATCAGTAGGACAAAATAGTTCAGAAATAGACCCACATATGTATGGACCATTGATTTTTAACACAAGTGCAAAGAAAGTGAAGAAGTCTTTTTTTTTTTTTTTTTTGAGACAGAGTCTCACTCTGTCACCCAGGCTGGAGTGCAGTGGCACGATCATGGCTCGCTGCAACCTCTGCCTCCTGGGTTCAAGTGATTCTCCTGCCTCAGCCACCCAAATAGCTGAGACTACAGGCACATGCCACCATGCCTGGCTAATTTTTTGTATTTTTAGTAGAGACAGGGTTTCACCGTGTTAGCCAGGATGGTCTCAATCTCCTGACCTCGTGATTCATCCGCCTTGGCCTCCCAAAGTGCTGGGATTACAGGCGTGAACCACCACACCTGGCCAGTGGAGAGAAGCCTTTTAACAAATAGTGCCATAAAATTCAACATCCATATCTAAAAAGAGGAAATTCAAAGAATATCTTACACCATATTGTACAAAAATTAACTCAAAATGGCTCACAGCTCTTAATGTAAAGCCTAAAACCAAGAAACTTTTATAAGAAAACGTAAGAGAGAATCTCTGGGAACTTGGGTTCCCATTTCTTAGATATGACACCAAAATTAATTAGACTACATCAAAATTTAAAACTTCTCTTCAAGGCCAGGCACAGTGGTGCACACCTATAATCCCGGCACTTTGGGAGGCTAAGGCGGGCAGATCACTTGAGCTCAGGAGTTTGAGTCTAGCCTGGGCAACATGGCAAAACTCTGTCTCTACAAAAAATAAAAACAAAAGTTAGGCCGGGCGTTGTGGCTGATGTCTGTAATGCCAACACTTTAGGAAGCTGAGGCAGGTGGATCACCAGAGGTCAGGAGTTTGAGATTGGCCTGGCCAACATGGTAAGATCCCGTCTCTACCAAAAATACAAAAATTAGCCGGGCGTGGTGGTGCGTGCCTGTAGTCCCAGCTACTCGGGAGGCTGAGGCAGGAGAATTGCTTGAACCCGGGAGGCAGAGGTTGCAGTGAGCGGAGATTGCACCACTGCACTCCAGCCTGGGCAACAGAGCAAGACTCCATCTCAAAAAAAAAAAAAAAAAAAATTAGCTGGGCATGGTGGCACGTGCCTGTAGTCCCAGCTACTCAGGAGGATGAGGTGGGAGGATCAGTTGAGCCCAGGAGGTTGAGGCTATCGTGAGCCACGATTGTGCCACCGCACTCCAGTCTGGGTGACAGAGTGAGACCTTATCTCCACAAAAAATCCAAAACAAAACAACCCCCCACCCACCACTTCTCTTAAAAAGATACTGAAAAGAATGAAAAGACAATGCATAGACTGGGAGAACATATATGTAAAGCATACTGTTCATAGCAGCTTTTTTAGAATTAGCCAAAAATTGGAAACAACTCAGAAGTCCGTCAGAGGAGAATGGATAGACGAATTGTTGTATAAGGTGGAATATTATTCATTAATAAAAAAGAAATGAATGTTGATGTACATACAATATGGATGAATCTCAAAAGAATTATTCTACGTGAGAGAAATCAGACAAAAGAGTGTATCTACTGTATGATTCCAAATATGGAAAATTCTAGAAAACACAAACTCATCTATAGTAACAGAAAGTAGATTGGGTGGCTGCCTGAACATGGAGGCTGTGGAGAGGAGCAGGAAGTAGGAAAGACGAAGGGACATACAGGACATTGTGAAAGTGATGGATATGTCTACTGCCTTAATTATAAGGCTGATTTTATGAGCATATACGTTAAGTGAAAACATACAACATTGTCAAACATTAGATATGTGCATTTTGTTGTATATCATGTATAACGTAAAAAATACATATATATATATATATATATTTTTTTTTTTTTTTGAGACAGAATCTTGCTCTTGTCACCCAGGCTGGAGTGCAATGGCACAATCTCAGCTCACTGCAATGGACCCAGGCCACAAACAAGGAAGGAGCTTCATACTACCCTGTGTCTCTGCCTTGGCCCCCAGGCCCTTCTTCATCTGTATCTTTCAACTTCCCCTTGATCTTGGTAACGCAATAAATCATCTATTCATTCATGTTTTGGCTACTCAGGAGGCTGAGGCAGGAGAATCAGGAGGCGGAGGTTGCAGTGAGCTGAGATCGTGCTATTGCATTCCAGGCTGGGCAACAGAACAAGAGTTCATATCAAAAAAATAAAAATAAAAGAAATATGCACTGTATGATAATCCTTAATCTTCCTGTTTTTCTTTGCTTTCAATTAAATAGTGAGCTTTTCAAGGACTAGGACCCTGGTTAATATGTCATCCTAGCCCTACATTTTAGCTGCATGCTGAATGGATCTATATGCATTTAGTAAATTGGAAAAATGGATTAATCAAGTAATCCACCAAAATAAATAAGCAAAAGGACCATGGAATCAGCACCATCAGAGAGCTGTTGCCTCCTACTTCCCAGAAGGCAAGAAGTACTTCCCACTGCCATGCTTGGTTGTTGTAAATGTCTCCATCAACTTCCTCTATACTCCTTGCTTGCAACTTTAAAGTTACGAAAACACCATTGGCTCAAGGCACGACTGAGGCCAAGACGTGTCCCTAAGGGAGTCACCATATCCACTCTCATCCAGCACAGACCCAGGCCACAAACAAGGAAGGAGCTTCGTATTGCCCTACAGGCCCCCGACCCTTCTTCATCTGTATCTTTCAACTTTCCCTTGATCTGGTTAACGGAATAAATCATCCATTCATCCATGTTTCGGATAATCAGCTATTGAGCGTCAACTGTGTGTCAGGCCTGTGATAGCCACTGGTGATAATGTGAAGACACAGTCCCTGCACTCCTCCAATCTAGGGAAAGATCCATGAACACATCCAGAACAGGCCATGCCCACCTTTCAACTGCTGCTGAAGAGGGCAAGAGAGAGGCATGGCTCGGGTAGATCCGAGCCTCTAATAGATTCCTCCCTTACCATAGCTATGTGCCCTTGGCCAAGTAACTAAAACTCTGTTAACCTCAGCTTTGAGATCTGTAAGATGGCAAGCATTATAACGCCTTTGTCTGTAGTGCTCTTATAGAGATCTATGAGATACATATGCATGAGGTACTCCAAAAGATATGCTTTTCTAAAAGTAGGCTTTTAACTCCCTAGCATGGCATACCAAAAAAAAAAAAAAAAAAAATCAAGACTTGGTGTTGCTAAAATAGAATCTGCCTTACACGTAGCGGGTATTTAATAAATAGTTGCTTCTAGAATGAGCTTTTTCAGTGTCCAGAAGTTCCTCCTTCCAAAGTCAATGCTGCTCTGATCTCCTGGTGGACAGCACTAGCAATAGTGGAGGAGTCTGTGGTCCTGCTAAGCAGTTTTTCTCTGTTCTGTCTTCAGAAACTCCTA